GTTATGAAATGGTCAGAGTTATCAATTATACTCCCCAAGATTCCATAGCTCTGGACCATGACATTTAAAGTGGTGTCAAACTAATGTAAATGCAGCCTAAGACTCCAGAAAACTAGGAATGGAGTCTTTACTCAACCATGGAAAACCACAAATAACCTTTGGCATCACAGTCTCTCAGCCTCAGAGAAAACCCTGTGATAGGTTCACCTTCGGGTCTTCAGAAGTTGAATGTGACTTGATGGCTCACAATGACAATAACAAACCATATTATATCTGCCTGTTAAGACTAGTGTTCTTAAGAATAGTATTTATTCTTACAAGAATAAAGAGCTGGTGGAGATTGAGCTGCGTTGGATCCATTTGTCTCTATTTAAAAATAAAAAAGATTTTAAAAATGAATTCATGTACACTAAAAATTAAAATACAAACATACTCAGGTCTATCATCTATGCTCCAGGCTCAATTATTTATTTAATTTGCTATGTTATGATCTCTCATTTCTCCCAATGAATTCAAGATGATGCACATGACCTTCCTCTTCCCCACTGTATTGTCACAACAACCCTGTAAATGGGACAGTTTGAGAGCCTCAAGGTCACCGGGAGAGTTTAATGACTCAGTGGGGACCTAAAACTGGATTCCTCTCAAGACCCAGTCCAAGGCACAGATCATTCCATTGTGCCTTGGATCCCTCAAACAATCTGAACAAGCAATCTATGATAACACAATTAAGCTTTTGTTGTTGTTGCTGCTTTGTTATGTACCATCAGGTTCTTTCAAATTTATGGTGTCTCAAAGGTGACCTTATGACAGAGTTTTCCAGGATATTATTTGTCTCTTCAAGGAAACTTGGAGATTTCGCTTCTGTTAAGAAAATACCCCACACTTTTGCAGAATTCATTATTAGGAATTATAACAGTTCTAGTGATGCAAAACCACCACAAGGTTAGAAACACACAACTTATATAAATAAAAAATGTAATGTTTGTTTGTGGGATTAACATAACTCAAAAACCACTGGACAAATTGACACCAAATTTGGACACAATACACCTATCAGGCCAACGAGTGACCATCACTCATAAAAACACTGAAAAACACAGCAGAAGAGACTTAAAAAGCCAAAAAAACAAAAATTACATTACAATGCATGCACAAAACCACATACATACACATACACACACACACACACACATATATATACAAACACACATATACACAAATATATACACACACAAAACACATATAAACAGACTGGACCACAGCAAGGTGTGGCAGGGGACTGCTAGTGGGTTTATATATCTGTGGAAAGTCCAGGGTGGGAGAAAGGACTCCTGTCTGTTGCAGCTAGGTGTGACTGTTTCAATTGGCAACCTTGATTATCATTTGTTGGCCTGACAGTTTTAGGTGTGGTTTGTTAATGCCTGGGGGAATCCTTTGTTGATTGTTTTTTGTCTGGAGTTCCCCTGTGTTTGAGTTTTGTTCTCTATTTACTGTTATAATTTTAAAGGTTTTTTTAAATATTGGTAGCCAGATTTTATTAATTTTCATGGTTTTTTCCTTTGTTGAAATTGTCCACTTGGTTGTGGATTTCAATGGCTTCTCTGTTAGAGTGGTCCAGCATTTCTGTGATCTCAAATAATATGTTCGTCCAGGTTGGTGCATCAGGTGCTCTGTTATGGCTGACTTCTCAGGTTGAATTAGTCTGCAATGCCTTTTGTGTTCCTTGATTTGTGTTTGGCCAATGCTGCATTTGGTGGTCCCTATGTAAACTTGTACCTTATTAAAGGGTTGAGAGACTACACGGCATACATGTCCTCCTTGGTGTCACTGGTTTCCACTTTTATTCACACTCCTCTGAGATCTACCCTTCCATTGTCCTTCACAGGAACACTTACTGTAACGGGGCACTTCATCGCACAGTACACTTAGGCACATCACCTAAGACCAGGTTCTATCCTATGCACAGACAAAAGGAAATGCAGTGTCAAAATGTTCATCCTCTCATTACCTTTTTCTTCCACAATACCTGCCCCTATTGCTGTTGTTGTTGGCATATCTATGGCCATTCCCTGCTATTTTCAGTACCATTGTGAATGCAAATTGTTTTCTCAAATAAAATGGGCATCAGGCATGACACTTCTCCCAATCCCACTCCTTTCACATCTAGTGGGAACATGGGGGAAAGCCTTCTCCAAGATCATGAAATTTCCATCCTAGAAAGACCCTACTAGCTCCCTCCTTACTGTCCTTTCACTATCGAGGGAATATGTGAGTCAGTACAGTTAACTGGTTTGAACTTTGGACTGTGACTCTGTAGGTTCAACTTGGCTGTAAAAACCCACTGGGTGATCTTGGACAAGTCATATGTTCTCAGCCCCAGAAAACCCCATGATAGGTTCACCATGAGTCAGAAAAGGCACACAACAAGAAGCCGTTTGGGAATCTGCATGTTTTATATAATGAGTTTTGTGTTGTAATACTCTGCTATTTTTCATCTATACTGTTAAATTAATTTTATATAGTTGTAATTCTAGAGGCAGTTTAATAGTATTTTAATCTTAACTTTTAATGTTTTTGTTTGTAGTTTTTACTTGTATCTGTGTTTATTCTGTAAGCCATCCTAAATCCCCCTCTTATAGGGAGAAGGCAAGGTATAAATGAAGCAAACTCTGGGTATGGATGCCGATGAATGGAATGTAAGCACTTTCCTAAACCCAAATCCTAACAAGTTGTTCTTGTCTGCATTCAAGTTATTTCTGACTTATTACTTATAATCGTACGGAGAACCTATCATCTGCCAAGGGTACTTTGATTGTGCTTTTCCTGCATGGCAGGAAATTGGGCTGGATGACCATGTGGTCACCTTCAAGTCTATGATTCTATCAGAGGGTTTCTTGGCAGAACTTGTTGAGAGGTTTGCTCTTGCCTTCCTCTGAGACTGCATGTGTGTGATCTTCTCAAGATCACTCAGTATGTTTTCTTGGCTGAGCTTGCATTTGAACCCTAGGTTCCTCAGTGACCCATCCAACACTCAAAGCATTGTACTGTGCTGGCTTCTAAACACAAGCATATCCACATCAAATCTGAAAGTATAAATATGGGGACATATTTTTGTAGATGTTGCTCTACATGCACATAATGTACTGCTTCTTTGTTTATGTGTGTGTGTGCATGTGCATATGTATCATAACCACAATACACAACAAAAATGCTTAAAACAGAAGAGGAAAAAAATGTAAAATGATATCTCCAACAATAAGAATTGTATTTCAAACTGTGTGTGTGCTGGCTGGGAAATTCTGGGAGTGGTAATCAAAAAAGTAAATAAAATGGATATTATTTCCTCCCATTGCAAAACATTATATGTTCTGAAATCCTATGGTGTGAGTCTACAATTTAACTCTTTCTGATGACATGCACAACTGCCTAATTGTGTATTCCTATATAGAAGGGTGTTGAACTGGATGTCCCTTGTGGTCTCTTCAAACTCTAGCAGTCTATGATTTTGTGATTTAATTGTAATATCTAGATGTGGAACATATATTTTGCTAGTATATGATTGAATAGAAAACCCAGATGTTGCTTTATCTTATGTATGCATACATTTCATTATAGAAATAGTTAGACATTGCTGTCTGATGCATTATATCCATACTTAGTCCAAGGTTGTGGATGCAGAGTTGTGTATTTGGTTATGCATTTGATTGAGCATTCAGTTACCCATTTGGTTTGCATTCAGTTAACCAATGTTGCCATTCAACACTTAGCACACCAGCTGATAGAGATCTGCACTAGGCAACCCTGATATAGGATCTCAGGGATAATGTTTAGAGCTGTGTACATAAATGCTTGTCCATATCGGCAAACATATTTAAGTGGATGTGGATGAAGATGTCTTGTAGGTCACCTGGCTTGTACAAATATAAGTATGTGTATATGTCTCTGTGTGGCTAAGGCACACAATCCCAGGATCATCTTTATGTGATCTCAAAACGACCCTATAGAAATGATTTTATTGAAAGGGTGAAAGTATAATCTGTTTTTCAATGGGGCAAAATCTCACTCACATTGTCATGCATGGAAGAAAGGGTGGTTTAGACACCAAGGAAATAAATTTGCTGTAGGGTGATTGTTTGCTGGCCTTTTGCCATCAAAGAAAATGAGAGCTTCAACACTGGAGAGCTTTCTTATGTAAGCTACATTTATATCTTATCTTTTTCCTAAAAAGACAAACCAGCCCATAAGATTCTCCATCCATCTCACTTCATCCTCACAGCAACCCAGTGAGATAAACCAGGCTAAGAGAGATATATGACTGGTCCAAGGTCATCTAGTGACTTTTATGATTTAGTGGGTAATCTGATGACTAGAACCTTAGTCTCACAAGTCCAAGTCTACTTCATGTACCATACTGTTTCCCAGATAGGAGAAAAGGTCATTTTAAAAGGTCTAAAAAACAAATAATGGTTGATGCAGTTTGTTTATGTTTCAATGTGGCACACATCTGCAAGTCACTATATTTTTGTGTTGTGTTTTTAAAATGGGTGCCAGAATGCTCCACATTTGAATAGCACACCAGGGAGTGTTCAGCCTTTAAAGTCTCTTTTTAATAAAGATAGAGAGTTAATGAAACGCTCACAAAATGGCACACACTCGTCACAGCAATGGCAAGGGCATTGTCCGGTAGGTGACTGTGACATTTCTGTAATTTCATACTGCACTGTTGCATGATATACAAACACTTGCTTAGCAAGGAAGGAGGAGAGAAATGTATTTCTCTCAACCCCAAAATAATGTGCTTTGACAACTCAAGATATATGCAAGCCGGGGTAAAAGTCTCCAGATTTCAAAATGGCACATTTGATGCCCTGCAAAAAAAACCTGATCTCCTGTAGAAAAGGCCCAATCGAAAAGAAGCCAAAGAGGGAGCTAGAAAGAGAGCTGGGTCACTTCAGTTTCTGGTGTTCTCATTTGTTGTTTCTCTTCTTGTATTGTAGGAAATTTTAAAGGTCTGTGTAAGCAAATCGATCACTTCCTCGAGGACACAGAGTATGAAGCCGACACAGCAGAATATTTCCTCCGTAAGTCTGCAGCTTCTTTTCCTTTGAACTATCATGTGTGCTGAGTGCTGCTGGATGCCCTTCGTTCTCTGGCCGATGACATTATACAATACACATTCCCTTGAGGGTGGGCATGCTAGAGAGAGCGAAATGTGGGAGAAAAGCCCAAGCAAAATAGCACTTATGGTCTTCTTGGATGTGCACTGTAAAACGTTCTGGGATCAAAGATTCCAACTCATGCCCTTTTTGATTCCCTTAAACACATCTCCTCCATATTGTTTTTCAGATCATTGAAACAATAGGAATAAACATACTTATAAAGCATATTTCAGTGGAAAGGAGACTTTCTAACTGCAAAATATCAATGACATTCAGCTAATCTGTGAACTGTATTTCCGCAGGTACTTCACCTGTCCAGTATGTTTTCATTGAAAGGGGCAACTGGGGGAATGCACCAGATTTGGGATACTGGCTGTTTCAATAATCAGCAGATATGCAATGCATATTGATGAAGAAGAACGTCAAAGGCAAATTATAGGTTACTTTTTTTAAAGTGAGGTACCAAAAAAGAGAGAATTTGAATTGCAAAAAGCATACTTAACATTGGCAGTTGCAAATGGCACATACATATTTAATGCAGCAGCAATCCATTAACTATCTGCATAAATATATTGGGAAGGGTGAATTTCTTTTCCAAGCACACCCTGAGATTAGGAAATGGGTGGCAGTGGTAAAATATCACTTCATTCCCAACAATAAGAATGAGAGTAATCTGTTGTCTACCTGGTGATGTGGATTTTTAGATCAGAGATTGGCAACAGGTAGATTATCATCTGCTGATTGATCTCTAGATTAGCTGGACTAGATCACCAATCAACACCTGGCCCTGTTGACTCTTACAAACCTTTCAAAACCCTAAATTAAGTTTTTAGAGGAGAGCATTAGAAAGAAAAGCAAGAGTGGATTTTTTTAATGTGAAAGGACTTGCAAGGTGGCTCCTATCTGCATTTACTGCTGGTTCCAAGCCTGGAAAGGTTATTTTGGCACTATGACTTCAAGAATCCTCAAGCCAGCAAGGCAACCAGCATACTGATTGAGGGATTGTGAGAGCTGTAGTTCCAAAAAGTAAGTTTTCCACCCTAGGTTCTCATTGGTAGATCTCTGAAGAAAAACTGTAGAAAATGTAAATCCAGCAAGCCAGAAGTCTGATATATATTCAGACTGGCATGGCCAGTTCATAATTAACAGTGACAGGAATGAAGAGAAAAAGGTCTATTTGGTTACAGCATCCACTGAGAACATCTGGAGCAAGAGCTTGTCCAAAATCCAGTAACTGGATCAAACCTGTGGCCATTAATTCACACAAAGTGGCTGACTTGGACCTTCGTAAACAGTATCTGAACTCCTAAGTCAAAGCTCTATAGAACTTTGTTGTGTGTGACCTGTTGGTGCCTCTCAAATCGAAGTGTCAAGAGTGAGGTCTTGAAAGCAGACCTTGCAGGAAATTCTTGTCTCATATTTACAGTGCAAAATGTTATTCGATCCACATTGCCTTTTTCACTCAGTGCAGAAGCCAAGGTGGTTTCAAACCTCAAATAAAACAAGATAGAGAGGGGAGAACACTTGTTATAAACTTGAAGTGAGCTTTAATAACAGTTACATACTATGATATAAAAACAAAGCATTGAATCAAAAAAGATTTTAAAGATATAACCAGAAAGGGAAACAAGTATTAACATCAAAATTATAGGTTGCTTACCTGTAACCGTAGTTCCCTGAGTGGTCACCTGTCAATTCGTACATGTGGTATTTCTGCGCCTGCGCAGAGCAATTCGGAACCTTCTGGAAATATCAAAAAAGACAGATTTATTCAGTAGCCAGTTAGTGGCCAAAATCCTGTCTGAATAGCAAGGTAGAATTCAAAGGCATAGGACAGTGGTGGTGAAGGGGCACACAGCATCGTTACTCGTTCCCCACTCACTCACCCATGCCCTGCTTGCCTGCCTGCTCACTCACCCACCCACCTCAACTCACTTGCCCACCCCCACTCGCTCACTCTCTCTTGCTCGCCACTCCCCCAAGTGCCCACCCACCCCCACCATCCAATTAGGGCACTCGGTCTCTAAAAGATTAGCCATCACTGGCATAGGACTTCATCAGATGCAGGGTTCCCCCATTTCTACACACTTTGAAAACATTTTAAATGCGGAGTCCCACAGAGCCCATCAAATGACCAAAGAGTATTTTAACTGGTTGCCCATGGGACTCCATCTTTACAATGTATTGTTGAAGGCTTTCATGGCCAGAATCACTGGGTTGTTGTAGGTTTTCCAGGCTGTATGGCCATGTTCTAGAAGCATTCTCTCCCGATTTTTCGCCTGCATCCGTGGCAAGCACCCTCAGAGGTTGAGAGGTTTGTGGAAACTAGGAAAACTAGGAAAATTGGGTTTATATATCTGTGGAAGGTCTAGGGTGGGAAAAAGAAGCCTTGTCTGTTGGAGCTAGATGTGAATGTTTCAATTGGCCACCTTGATTAGCATTTGATGTCCTGACAGTTTTTAGGTGTGGCTTGTTACTACGTGGGAAATTCCTTTCTTGAGAGGTGATTAGGTGTTCCTGATAGTTTCTTGTCTGGAGTTTTCCTATGTTTGAGTTTTGTTTTTTATTTACTGTTTTAATTTTAGAGTTTTTCACTAACCTCACAACCTCTGAGGATGCTTGCCACAGATGCAGGCAAAACATCAGGAGAGAATGCTTCTAGAACATGGCCATACAGAGGTTTTTGGAGTAGCTGAGCAAATGTCTTCAGAGCTCCCAATTCGCTCAGAAACAGCTAAAGACGTTTATTTTAAGGTTGGGTTGGAACTGTCTAATTCCCCTGTTTTAGATCATCATAGTGATGTAAAAGAGTGCGTGTTCCTAAAATGTGCCCCAACGCTCCTTTTCTCACCATTAATCTTCTTTCATGAAACTTTTACAATAATTTTTTTAAAAAATATTCTTTCAGAATTGCACAATTTTGATATATCACCAGTTTGATATAGCTATATTTCCCCCTTTTTTAAACCTGGGATTTCCAAAATTTCACATAGCATGTTAATTAGGCATTTTCCCTTTTATATTACAAATAATTGGAAATACCAGGGATGTGAGGTTTCAGACTTCTGCAATTTTCACTCTTTTAATTAAAAAAAGAAAGAAAGAAAGAAAGTGGTATGACCAGATAATACACTTGCCTGTGTGATAGCTCAGAAAGCTATGGATTTCTGTAGAAACAGACAGGGTACATCATATGTGACGGCAGCAAATAAATTATCAATTTTTCTAAAAAAAATGGAAATATATGAAATGCTACAGTAATAAGACAATTACCTCCAGCTTTATGCTCCTAATGAATGGGGTCCATAGCCATGGATGCATGAATGTGCTATTTCACACCACTTCAAATGCCATGACTCAGCGCTATGAAATCATGGGAGTTGGAGTTTTACAAGGTCTTTAGCCTTCTCTGCTAAAGAGTGGTGGTGACTCATGAAACTACAAATCCAAAGATTCATAGCACTGGAAGTTAAAAGCAGTTTCCAGCCACATTTATTCTAAAGTGTAAATGCACTCTTAATCTGGAATATCAGTATGTAAAGAGATCGTGGAGAACCTCAGAGACTAACTAAATGAAGCTGTAGCATAAACTTTCTTCTCAATCTGTGGGTTCCCAGGTGTTTTGACCTACAACTCCCAGAAATCCCAGCCAGCTTACCAGCTGTTAGGATTTCTGGGAGTTGAAGGCCAAAACATCTGGGGAACCACAGGTTGAGAACCACTGCGCTATAAGATACTTTTGCATACTGAGCAGAAGAGTCATTGCCTGGAAGCAGAAGGAAAACCAAGAGGCAGCAAACTGCCTGGAAACAACCACCAAGATGGTCCCCACTCGTGTCCTCACAAATGTGTGTGTGATCAAATGAAATTATTTGCCCAATGATCTCAGAACTTAGGGAGCATCTTTAAAACCTTTATTAAAGATGTACATCATCTACTCTCCAGCCTTAAAGCATGGCCACATGAAGCATGTAATTTTTTAAGCGCATACTTAGTAATACAATTTAAAATTAAATATTAATATACCTACCTTTGACTTTCTGGCTTTACTTTTGTTGTGGATTAAGTCACATGATAGAAGTTGGGGACTTCAGCCTTGGGGAGAGAAGCTTCGATATTTTCCATCTGGATTTCAAAAGGTATCCTGGGGGAATTCTAAATGATCAGAATTCAAGTAACTGCCCAATGTGACAATGTTATCCTTACTTACTTAATCCCCACTGAATTTAGTGAGACTTGCTTCTCAGGAGATATATGTAGGATAGCACTCCACTTTCTAAGTACCCCTACTCTGTACTGATTAGCTCACACTATTGTGGTGTTGCTCATTTTTTTATTTTATTCAGATTAATATTTTTATGCTGGTGTTTTCTGGACTAGGACTCCAAAGCACCTGAAGGAATAACAAAAATAAGAATGATTTGGCAGGAAAAATCGTGTAATGATGGTCACAGTTTTGGATTTCACAATGCATATAGGATAATTCTTTCAGTAGCTACTAATGTTAGGCAGGGCAGTAGTCATGATGGCTACCATTGGTTCACATGCATCATCTCAGTATATGCTGAGGAGCATATGAAGAAGATAGTGTCCTCTTGTGAACTTGATTACTGAGTTAGCTACTGTGAGGTGAGAATTCTGGTCAATAAATGCATTTAATCTAATCTAACAGGGTTCTTCTTATTTTGCAAATCCTTTTAACATGTTTGTATGTCGATAAGGCACCAATAAGATCCAGCATTGGGTTTGGACCAGAAAGCTATGGAACTGACTCTCTATTCAACTAAGTTTTGGGCAGGCCCCAGAATATCTTTGTTCCTGATCTGTGAAAATGAGGTGCAGGATATGGTAGCCTGAGCCACTTAGAGGAAGAAGGGGGAGATATATAGATATAGATATAGATACACACACACACACACACA